CCGAGTGGTCTCACACCTTGTCTGCTGTGCATAGCACAGCAGGAGAGGACATTGTGTCACAGTCTAGCCTGGCTCCCTATGGTTAGGGAGCTCTCCTTCTGTTTGAAGTCCTGTTAAAAAAAGGAGTTGAATTTCAACCTCTTTCTGAGAAAATGCCCTATAGAACAGATCATTATATAAAGAGGGATTATCAGCACCAGTATTCACAGTGGTTCTGCAGAAAAGGGTCCCAGCTTTGGAGTCCAAGCTGACAGAAGGATCTCCCTACGCTTGATGGAGACAAAGATGGATTTTCAAATGTACGTCTGGCCTGAGCATTTTCTTCCTAGTTTGCTGTAGACAGTTGTATACAGAGCCTGCTCACTGATCTCATCTCTGTCAATGTTACCTCGTTATCTCCAAGTATGATACTCTTGCAGGTATGATGCAGATTTGCTTGTGGGAACCAGAAGGCTGTTAGCTCTTATGGTGCTTAATTCTCAATTGTCTGTACCTTAGCCCTTTTAACAAAGCTTTACCTGTTGCTGCTCTGCCATTCAGAACCACAAGCAGTATCATGGTGTTGTGGGCTAACCCTGGTGGGCCGCTCAGCCCCACACAGCTGCTTGCTCGCTCCCCCACAGTGGGATAGTGGAGAATCAGAAAGGTAAAAGTGAGAAAACTTGTGGGTTGAAATAAAGACAGTTTAACAGGTAAAGCAAAAGCTGTGCACACAAGCAAAGCAAAACAAGGGTTTCACTTGCCACTTCCCATGGGCAGGCAGGTGTTCAGCCATCTCCAGGAAAGCAGGGCTCCATCACGCATAATGGTTACTTGGAAAGGCAAACACCATCACTCTGAATGTCCCCCCATCCTTGTAGGGAATATCCCTTTTGACGGTTGGGGTCAGCTGTGTCCCCTCCTCACTTCTTGTGCACCCCCAGCCTACTCCCCTGCAGGACAGGGTGAGAAACAGAAAAGGCCTTGAACGCTGTGCAAGCACTGCTCAGCAGTAACTGAAATGTCCCAGTGTTAACGCTGTTTTCAGCACAAATACAAAATGGCACCTTACAAGCTACTGTGAAGAAATTTAACTCTATCCCAGCCAAAACCACTACAGTATTTTTTAAAAACTTAGTGAGCAATCACACAGAACACGTTCCATGCGTTTTAAGCATTTGTCAAAGTTGCATGTGCCGAATAATTGTTCATATTAATTTTGTTGCATGTACTCTTATAGTCCAGCTAACAAATCACTCCAGGAAAATGTTGAGATGGTACACATGGTCTGATTGCCTGAAGGATACTTTTATTTTTAATCATGACTCAGTTGCATTTCCATCTGGCAGAAAACTGCTTGGGAAAATTTACACATTTTCAAGTGTGCCATAAGCTATAATAGGCATTTTAAATTTCTGAAATCTGTATGCTTTGAATTAAGACTTTGTTGCTTGTATTGAAGTTGTCCACATTGCAGTTTTTCCTCACTATCATATTTCTGAACCAACTCTTTGTTTTCAGCCTGTTGTTTAGTGTTCTTCTCATTAAGATGTACTATTTCAGTATTTACAATATCTTCATCTGACTCTTCTGAAATAGGTTATGTACATTCAATATTGCTCTTCATTGGTGATATTTGAAATTCAGATACAGCTTGTTTACCTAGCAGTACTGGGAATTTCTAATAAATTCTGCCCTGTTTGAAGGAAGATTATCTTTACAGTCTTAGGCTATGGCAGCTTTAGTATCTTGCATCAACTGGAATAATAAGCTACAATTTTTATGCAAAATCTGAGAATGTGATTTTAGAAGTTAGGGTGTTTAAAGTAAGTTTGAAGATTGCATTATTTTCATTTCCACCAAGTAGAAGAATGCAAGATTCAGGCAGGAAATCATGCTGATCATTTACATTGAGAGAGATAAGGAAAGAATAAAATATTTGTATTGTACTTGGGAGAAGGAATGGGGTTTGTCATATCATTATGTTCTACCTTGCAATAACATCGCAACATTGAAATAATATACTTTAGAAGATTAACATATGCATGATTATTTTAATGGATGGGATTTTGTTTTATATTACCACAAAATTTCAGCTTTCCAGCAATGTGAAACATTGTCACCTATTGTCAAAATAACTGATAGGCTATTTAGCATACAAGAATAAGCTTTGTTTCTTTTTACCTGTTGGCAGAGAAGTCTGCTAACCAATGAGTGAGATGTTATTTAACCTAAGTGTGTGGTATGATAAAGATGCTTTTCCCATGGCAAACTATTCAAGTCTTTTGTGTCTTCTACCCTCTTGATATATTAAAAAAAACAAAAACACAACCAAAAAAAACCACCAAAAAAGCAAAAAAAATCAAGAAGTTTGCTCTAGTTTTACAATTTCATAACACAAAATCTAAATAAATTAGCTTTTAAAGCTAATTATGAAGCAGCTTCTTGTGTTCCTATTAATATTGTTACTTTGTTTATTCTCTAAACTCTTTAAAGCAAGGAAGCATAACAGAAATATGTCAAAGTATCTCCATTAGTAAGGCTCTTTTGGTTAGCCTGGAGTGTGTTTTGTCTAAGCAGCACAACTCAGTCAATACCTTTCTTGCCTGAGAGAGACGAGGGAGCCTCTATGGTGACCCAGCCTCCACGTGCACTTATAAATGTTCCAAGATTGTTCCTGTGTTTAGTCAAATTCTGTGCTTCTGATGCTGGATAGAACCAGAACACTTACTGTTGTCATTGCCTGTGTATTTAGGGTTCATACTGTGCTCGCAAATTGACAAAAAGAAAATAATCTGAGAGGAGTGGCCCAAATCTGTCTGTGCCTGTAACTTCAAGGAGGAGACATACCCTTAACTGAAGATGTCTACCAGACCTCCTAAAACTGAAAGATTCTTTCAAATTTCAGGTTAACCTTCTCTGAACAGCAAACTGTTAGTCCCCTGAATAATTTTATTATAATCTTTTCAGTGGATCTTCAGTGTCAGTTTTGCAGAGTCAGCTTTGCAAGTAGAAACGTTGGAGTCTTGCTCCTGCATGTCTGCTGTGCTTTTACTATGGCTGTACCTGACTGTGCCACTTGCAAAAGCACCACAAATTATCCTCAGCATGTTCAGAAAAACTGAGGCTGATACGGTTTTGCCTTCATAATGTGAATCCCAAAATAAGGCATTTTGTGTATCACCTTGCAGTAACTGACTGGTTCACATGGCAGGTCTGGGGAAAGAACTGCTGTTTCTCTGACTGTCAACCAAGATTCCTGCGCTGCTCTTTGCAGGCACTTGTCACAGTTGCACAATGAGGGCTAAGTTCTGCTTTACTCTTAAAATATAGGTTCACCTTCTTTATGGAAAATAAATTTTTTTCCAGTTTTGCTACTTTTACTTTTTCTACATAGAATGACTTGCAGAAAATTTGCTACTGTGAAAATTAATTGATCTGTGAGTTAATATTAATTAGGGAATAGCATATCATTCTTTTTTGTTTCAAGTCATGATAATTAAAGTAATTTTTTTTAAGTGAAATTTTGAGCATATCGTATATCAGTTTTGTAATTTTAATAAAAATTTACAGTAGTTGGGTTTTTTTTTTAAATTAAACTATTATATAAGCTAAAAGGAGCAGAGGTCAAAAACTTTGGCAATTTTAGCGATATCGTGATATTCGAGTAACTTAGTTGTCCCTTGCAGTCATTTGCATGTAATAGGTGGATTTTTTTTAATTGTTTTTTTAGAAGGTTTTTTCTATTTGTGGTAAAGACAAATGAGTATCAGTAATAACAGTCATTGAGGCTTGCTTATAAGAGCTCTTTCATAAGGCACTCAAGTCTTGAAGCGTAGGAGGAGGTTGAACAATAGTATGCTATATAGCTATGAGGCTTTTTTATTGCTTAAAAAAAAATAAATCTCAGGACTGAAAGCTCTGTATCTTTTCAACTTGGCATGATGAAGAACACAAGCCAAAATTATGCTGTTGGTGATCAGCTGTTATGTTGGAACTATAATTATACTACGTAAGTGAAAGATTGTTTTGTACTGCAGACCGAGGATATTGCTTAAGATGCATGCATTCTGATACTTCTTAATTGAATGAGTTCATTTAGTACAACCCATTTTGTGGGGTAATGGTATTTGTTTTAGGTAGTTTTCTGTGTTGCTTGTTCAACATTTATGGAGATGGTATACAATATTCCATTTAGGATTTTTCAAAATTTATAGTAAGAACTGTCAGATCTCTTCAGAAAATGCAGGAATCAGATGGAATCAAGGTTAATGGCTGTTTATAGACCGTGAAGCCTCCAGGGTAATACAGAAGGTGAATAGGTCACAGTGTTCAAGAGCAACTCTATCTGATTTTTCAAGTAGAGTCTAGAAGTATAAGTTATACAGCCAGGAATGAAATCCAGAGCTAGCTTTGTTTCATAACATTTGACTGTTCAGATATTTTTTTTGTTGTTATTATTAATAGAAGATACACAACAAAGACATCAGTGTCCTGTACACCCAGTGTTAGAATTAGAAACAGCCATATTAAAATGGAATTAATGTTTTGCTTCTGCAGAGAAGCCTCACTGATCTGTTGTGTTTGTCCTGGCTGTATGAAATCTTTCATTGTGGTGAAAAGTAGTTAGTAAAGGGATTTTTTTAAATTATTATTTAAAGCTTCCATGAGCACACACTTGCACTAACAGGCTATTTCTCCATTTCTGAACCAGAAGGTCCTTCATTTTGCTTTTCTTGGCAAATTAGTCCAGAAAGATTTTTTTGATAGATTTCACAGCTCTTTAATTTTTTTTTTTTTTTTTTTTTAAATTGTACTGGAGCCAGCATCCTGAATAGATGCAAGCTTTCTGTGAAATTTATACTCTTTTTACTCCTTTTCTTATTTTATTTTTTTAACAGTTGCTTGGTTCTTACAGGTCTGCACAATATAGTCCAACTGAATTATTTATATTTTAGTGCATAGAATTTTGTCATGCTTAACTTGTGCTACTTACCTTTTTTTTTTCTTTTTCCCTATAGGTATATTCGAATTGTTGGGACCCACAACACAGTGAACAAAGTTTTCCATATTGTGGCGTTTGAATGCATGTTCACAAACAAAACCTTTACTCTTGAGAAAGGCCTGATAGGTAAGAGATAAAACTGTTTTCCTTTCACATGAACTATTGCGAAAACGTGCCTTTTAAGACTGGCCGTCACTGCACTCTTACTCTATTTCTGTTTTCACACTGAAATCTCTAACTTGAGTTAAATGATGCTGTAAGCATAGAATTAGTTGGCTAGTCCTTGCGACTCCTTTGATATTCCAGTTCTGTGGATTAATTAGTGATGTTACAGGAATCCTAAAGTTCAAATTAAATCAACTGCTGCTGATACCAGTAATTGAGTAACTCAGTGCTGCTAATCCAATTCTTCTTCGCATGTCATAGTATGGTTGCACTTGCCTCCCAGCAGGTTAGCCTGAATTCTGTAATGAGGATGGAGTAACCAGAGCTATTTATTGCAGTGAAGATGGATTTGGGCATTTAGGGCCTATTACACAGCCTAGTTCCAACTGCTCAAGGTAAACTCTCGTGTGTTGATTTTCCCCCAAAGAGCCATAGACACGTTTAGCCATGGCAGAACACTATATTGGCTACCCTTATTCTCAGAGCACCGCACTGATGGAGCTCTGTTACCTCTGGAGCTCCCAATAGCTTGTATAATACTGATTTAAGTTCTTCTACATAGTACTGAATTACTTAAGGTAGAAATCCCCAAGAGACCACCAATACTGAATGATAAAATATGTCAAAGTAAGATTTAGTATTGATTTTTTTAATAGTTCAAACAGGGTGATTTCTGTGCTTTCTTCCATATAAACTCAAGTGAGTGAGATCCTGAAATTCATTGGGAATACTTTTGTGCAGCTTTCAGTAGTTGTCTAGGTGGGATTTCCCACAGTTTGTTACTTCTGGCATGAAAATTGAGTATTTCAGCAAAATTCTTCATGAATTCATGCTGGTTTTAAACATATCTTTAAATTTTAAGAATGCACCTATGATAGATGGAAGGGTAAACAGATTTCAAGAAAGAATGAGAGGGAAGATTTTAGTAAGACATATTTCTTTTAAATTTTTTTCTGAGAAAACTATAATATTTAGCTGTGAAAAAGTGAGACCAAACTCCTTCAGCCCATTCCCCATGCGTTACACAAAGGCATCACATGGTTACACCTGATCTCATGAGGTTTGCTGTGTAATTTCATGATGTTTTTTTAGAAGCATAGAATAAGTGGCCTGACAAATCACACTTTACTAATTTTTATGTTATATAGCCCCAAAATGTACAAGGTCTTCCATAATGCAAATAGAAAGTTTACCCTTTGTTTTAGGGAGTTTGCAAGTAGTATTGCAATTGCAGTTGACAAGAAAATAGAATAAGGAAGAACTGTGGTTAAAGAAAACATCCACCTTCAGTAATCTAGTGTCCTGGTTTCAGCTGGGATAGAGTTAACTGTCTTCCTAGTAGCTGGTACAGTGCTGTGTTTTGAGTTCAGTATGCAAAGGATATTGATAACACTGATGTTGTCAGTTGTTGCTAAGTAGTGTTTAGAATAAAGTCAAGGATTTTTCAGCTTCTCAAAGCCCAGCCAGCAAGAAGGCTGGAGGGGCGCAAGAAGTTGGCACAGGACACAGCCAGGGCACCTGACCCAAACTGGCCAACGGTGTATTCCATACCATGGGACGTCACTGGCCAACGGTGTATTCCATACCATGGGATGTCACATCTAGTATATAAACTGGGGGAGTGGGGGCGGGGGGAATTGCCGCTCGGGGACTAGCTGGGTGTTGATCAGCAGGTGGTGAGCAATTGCATTGTGCGTCATTTGTGTATTCCAATCCTTTTATCATTACTGTTGTCATTTTATTAGTGTTATCATTATCATTATTAGTTTCTTCTTTTCTGTTCTATTAAACCGTTCTTATCTCAACCCATGAGTTTTACTTCTTTTCCCAATTTTCTCTCCCATCCCGCTGGGTGGGGGGGAGTGAGTGAGCGGCTGCATGGTGCTTAGCTGCAGGCTGGGGTTAAACCACAACATCTAGTTAGCAGAGAAACAAAATATTTCAAGTTTGATTATAACCTTTGAGCTAAGTTTCGTATTTAGCACTGCCAGCTATGAATTTTTAAAAACTTTATACAAAATCAGAGTTACTGTGTGCAAACAAATGGTGTATATATCTGTATGTATTTGACTGAAGATTATCAGTCATTTAGCAAATATTCAATTTAGGACTTAAATAACATATTATCTTTTTGTGTGTGTGTGTTAACTCAGAGATTCTTTGGTCGAAACAGCAGGCAAGGTAGTGAATCCGTGTTTGTTAGTGGAAGTGTATTTGTACCATAATTGACTTGTCTTTCAGATGCTCAATGATGTTTTGTGGTTTAGTGAGCATTTTGGTGAGGCAAACTATTAGATCTGTTTCAGCATTTCATGAGTTTCAAAGATAATCTAGGGGATGGAGACTTTATATGGCTCGATTAAAATTTATCCATTTATGAAATTTTTCTTTGTAGTTACAGAATCTTACAGGCAAACAGGGTTTGGACTACATAATAGTAAGTGTCCATTGTTGTTCAGGGTGATCAGTGGAATGATGCTGTCATTCAGTGTGGGTCAATCAAACTGTTGTACGTGTAAGTCATTTGAAGTGATCTACAATAAGCAAAGAGAGGCCTGCAGGGCTCTACAGCTTTTCATATTGAAGGGATGGTAGTCAATACAATTAATAGAAAATTAAAAGAGTAGGAATTCAGGGAGTAGTTAATTGAAAGAGGGATGTGGACTAACTTCCAGTTGTAAATGAGGCAGCAAAAGTCGGATACATGACCCTGCAGAATTTATGGTGAGAAAGGGACAAATGGAAAGATTTTGGGACTAGTTGACGGCAGTCCAGTTGTGAAATGGAGCAGGGGCACAATGGCTGTTCCACCAGAATTTATGGTCATCAAATTACTTATTCAAAAATATTCTCAACAGTCGTGCCCCAGGAAAGTGACCTTATATCCATTTAGTACTTTGTTTTACATACCTGTGATAGTCACTGTAAGGTAGCAAGTTGTCTAGCTCCCTTGATCAAGCAGTTCCACTCCTGTAAAAAAAAAAAATCTATATGACTACCAATGGATTAGTTGGCACAGATTTATTTATTGCTCTGATGAGTATTTGTGATGTTTGTTTCTATTCCAGCAGTGACTGGATAGGGTAAAGTGAACTGAAAGCAGTTAGGAAAGCTCCACAAAATATATGAAAGTACGGTAATCAGAGTAGATTGCTTTTCAGCTTGACCGAGTACAGAAGCTTTCATCCTCAACCCTTGAAAAGCAGTATTAGGTAATACTATTGGGTTCATTGTTTATCTCGTATGGTATTAAATTAGGTTAGAACAAACACAACTGCTGTTTCTATATCCTGTTTTATTAAGAAAATGTTGGTCAGCCCTTGAAGGCCATATGGTCCTTTCAGAAAGACTTTGTGACCCTTACTTCTACCAAAACAACACTGAAGATAATAGGCAAAGGGTTTGTCATCTGAAGCGTCATTCCAAAGATATAAGGTCACTGAGGTATTTGTTTAGGGATCTTATACGGAGATTTAAGAGTAATTATTTATTTAATTTTCTTGAGACCTATTCAACTTGATCAGAAAGCTGTATATACAAAGAGGGTAATTTATCAGATATATTACTACTGATACATAGTATCTATGTAATGGCTGTCACTGTGAAGTGTAGAGTAGAAGGCTGGTAAACAAATAATAAAAATGAAGCACTGTTTCATGATAACGGCAATTTTATGTTGCTGTGTTTATACTTACAACGTTTTCATGACAAATTATTAACTTGACATACTACATTAAAAGTTAATATGAAATATGATTTATACAGTTACTTTATACAATACAGAATGCAGTACTGACACAACGCATTGGTAGCAGTTTTGAAGTAAAAGTAGCAGGAAATGCTCTTTCTAGCACTGTCTGGTGTTTTAGTGTTGGTTTGCACTTTGTTGTCTTGTGAAATGAGGTAAGTGACAGAAATTAACACAGGTGTTAGATTTGAGATGTAGTTTTCCTTTTGGCATAGTATTATCTCTCAATGTGTAAGTAAATTAACACTTCTACATATTATATTCGCAAGATTGACATAACTGTTTCATTTAACAGGGATGTAAATATTTTTTCATCTCAAAAGCATAGTGTTTGCTTTTAATGCACTTCGCTTCTGAAATTTTGGATGGTCTTTAGTCATTAATATTTAATCTAGAATCCAAAACAAATGAAATTTTTCACAAGCAAGAGACGTACTCCTTTGGAGGCAGAAGTGGTACCTGGTGTGATGTGATGTTTTGTAAAAGCTTCTAATCTGCCCGGTGGCAAGAAGGTACAACAGTGGGTAAGGAGCTGCTTCTATGCAATGCCTCTTTTGGTGTTGGGGTTTTTTTCCCACCTAAATATAGGAAATAATTCCTCTTTTCTGCCTCAAAGGGAAAAAATTTATAACCTCACTTAGTCCTTTAATCAGTACTCAGTGCTGAGGGGCAGTCAAGGACTATGCAGGCAGGTGGCTTTGACCAGCCTACTGTTCTATTTTGAGCCTGGTTAAGGTCATAGGGAGTGCAGTGTAGAAGGCTTTTATATGAAGTTGTGTTTATCTGTAGTCTGTCTCAGTCTGTCAGACTATCTTGTAACTTGTACATTACACACAGAAGGGAGAACGGTGAATAATGACAGAAGAGCAGGAGATGGACGTAAAACACTGGAATGTCCTTGGTCACCCTCTGGGGAATGCTGTTCAGTACCTATGAATCATTGTGAATCTTCATTTGGGTGCTCTTCAATGCCTTGAGAGAATTTGTTTTAAAGGGGAAAAAATGAAATGAATAAATAATCATTCAATTGTCTTTTACTCTCAGATACTTATTTAAAAAAAAAAAAATTAAATGTATAACAGAGAGAAACCAGTCATATCAGTTTCCTAGTAGAAGATTGCCCTATCTCTGTCCAAGGAAGCAGTGAGAGATGCTATTTTGTGTCTAGTTTAATGTTGACTTCACACAAAGCTATCATATTTTGTTTGTTCTC